ATGTGGGATGCTCCTGCATTGCTACAGGAGCGGTGGGTTTAAGGACGAGGATTTGACCTGCCGAGGGAACACCGAGTCTGCTGACCCAACAGAATTGTGTGTTAATATTTGGTTTAAGCTCGCCATCAACATTGGGGATAAAATACTTGCTTCCATTTGAACACTCTCCTACATCGTACTCCGTTTCATGTTTAGAGGGTGTAAGTATGTGAACACCTGTTGATACCATCGTAATTAGTAAAATCAATGAACATTAATATTACATAGCTGGAGTAATCAACTGTAGTAACCAGAAAATAGATTTATTTTGGTACGAGTTAGATCAATCATTAATGACCATGAGATGGTTAATGTGAACATATATGAACATCATATGAGATCTATTTGGTTAAAGATCACAAACTATTCATAGACTAAAATAATTGACATGAACATATATGAACAAATTGTGTATAAGTTTATTTGGTGCGAGTTAGATCAATCGTTAATGACCATGAGATAAATAACGTGAACATATATGAACAACATGTGAGATCTATTTGGTTCGAGTTCACAACCTGTTCATAGACGAAAATGTTGGGTTACGGGATCTCAAGCACAACGGAAAATAAAACCGTAACCCTCCAAGGACCCATACGAACCTGAATAAATCGGGTGTTTCGAAATTATATCTCACAGTTAGCGAGACTTTGAATCACAACAACAAACAAAGCTTGATGCCTCCACGGTATCCATGCGAACAATCCGAATCATTTGCCTTCTCGTGATGCTAGTCACGGTTTCAAAACTTAGAAAGAAAAAGGGAGCATATTGTTGTAGGTGGTTTTTAGGAGAGAAAATTGCAAAACCAAAAACTCTCTAACATAAAAAAATGTCATACATTTTATATGGACATGGGATGTATGGCCTAACCATCACCATACCTCCACCATCCCTCCACCATGCTTGAGTCTAAGACCTTCCATGCACCATCACTCTCTTACAAAGCCATACCTAGTCAWHTTTAYTTATGTCCAACATAAATAATATCTGATTTTATTTAATCAGATTAAATCGATACAAATCAGATATGATAATTAAACATTTTAATTATTGAAACTCCCTATT